TCGTCCATTGGCGAATGTCCACGAAAATTGATGAATGTCTACTTGCAACATTCACCAATGGGCGAATGTCGCGTGAACATTCGCCGAAATAAGCTCATATTCAGAGCAGAAAAATGCGCATATACACATGCGTGAAAGAAGGAAAGAGGCGAGAGAAGAAATTAGTCTGCGCGCGAAGCGGTAGCCTCTTATTTTTAAACATTCAATAAGGACTATCCAATGAATACTGAAAATGGGTATTGGCGAATATCACCGAGACATTCCCCAATTATGGCGAATGCCAATAGTTTAGGTTATTGGCGAATGTCTATTGTTGAAAGTTGAATTGGCGAAATGCGCATTTACCTGGTTCATTTATCAAATATATAAGCGGCTCATTGCAATTGATGAGCAACAATTGAGCTAGTTCTGGTGTTTCCAAAATGACTTTCCTGTGAAAAAACCTAAACATATCGAGTAAGGGCGCAGTGCGTGAAATTCAGCGGAGTTCTCAAAAATCTTAGCTTCATTGTTTCTTTAAAATTGCAAGACGATTTTTTTCTGGTTCTCTGTGTAAAAGTGAGTGTAAAAAGAGGAACCTCCTAAGATGCCAAAAACCTTTCGAATCGGACTATTTTCAAAATGCAGGCCATCATGGGCTATGGAGATCTCAACTTGATTCGGGCGCAACCAACTTTGCTGCTGAGATATCGAATTTTCTCCATGGGACCTGGATTTCAAGCAAAACTGGAGTTTTGAATTTCATGTTCAACTCATCGCACATTGTAGCCCAGACCATTTATAGCCCGATGACAAAAGGACTGAGCTGAAAACCTCTTTCCGCTGCGGTGAAAGAGGTTTTTTTAATATGGGTACCAAAGGTAAAACATGAAGTTTTGAAAAAAGTTCTTTCACCGCAGCGGAAAGAGGTTTTCAGCTCGGTTTTCTTTTCGGGCTAGAAATGGTCTGGACTACGATATGTGATAAGTTTCAACATGAATTCAATACTCCAATTTTGCTTGAAATCCAGGTCCCATGGAGAAAATTCGCATAAAACTTCGATATCCCAGCGGTAAAGTTGACTTCGCCCGAATCAAGTTGGGGTTCTTCATAGCCCGTGATAGCCTACATTTTGAAGATAGTCCCATTCAAAAAGGTTTTTAGCACCTAAGCAGCTTCCCTCATAAGTCCAACCTGACCCCGCTATCCGTTGAACACGCGCAGAATTTGATGCCTATCTTCTAAACCTATCTCGTCCTAGGGGTTGTGGATAACAAGTTTTTTTTCATTTAATTCTAACCAGGATGCTATGTGGGAAGAAAGTACATTGAGATTTCCTTCTATATTGCTTTACTGTTGCGAAAAACGATTTTTTTTTAGCTTAAAAAGCAGGAAATGCACTTGTATTCCGCCATTTACATCGATAAAAATCAATTTTCATGCGAAATTAATCACATATTTGGAAATAGTATTAAAAGCTGAGTCAAATGACATAGCTTTTATCAAAAAATACTTTTCATCAAAATTGGACGCCAACTCCTGTCTATGCCTCGTTTTGGTAAAGACATTTGGTGAACAAAAGGAGAAATTTTATTCGCTCTATGTGAATTTTACTATTAGTTCTGAGATTCGCATATACCATATACATAGATTTTTCTCTCCTGTCATTTTTAAACTTATGTGTAGTTAGTTGTCCAGCATGACCTAATGAAAAATCGAAACGTCGAATTTAATAAAGTTAAATTTTGGCTGCTATTAAAATCAAACATATTTCAACGCAGTTTTTGTCGTTTCATCGTCAATCTGATGTATCCTATGTTCGACAGTTAGGATTTTCAAGTCGTATACATGGATACACGTCCAATTTCTGACAGATGGGATTGTCAGCAAGAAATTTATCAAGAGATAATTCGCAACAGAAAATTGGCAAAGCCATAGGCGATACTTCAAATTAAGATTCGTTTCTGTATAGCAATGTATGAGTTGTTTATCATGTTCTTTTATTGATAATATGCTTTGTTTCATGATATATTTTGTTTTTTATATAATCTAGATCATTCAGTTTATCAAATTCGCTAAAATCTAACTTTTCGCCTGATTCATTTTCATTATCATCATTCTCATTAAAATAAATATTATCAAAATATGAATGTCCTATAGCTTGTTCTATTGTGTAACGTTCAACAGGATTAACTTGTAATAAATTGCTTAATAACTGTATTGCTTCTTGATCAATCGGAAAATGTGGCGCGAATAACGTATCGAATGTTCGCATTATTAGCGGTGTTTCATAGAACCCGCTTATACATTGATACTGATCTTTTGGTATCCATTTCATGTGTTCTTTTGTTGGTAAACCAACTAAACAAAATATTTTTTTGAATACCTGGAAAAAATCATTACCACTAAATAGTGGTTGCCCATGGATCATTTCACCAAACACACAGCCACATGACCACATGTCTATGGCTGGATTATAACGAGAACAATTTAATAAAAGTTCAGGAGCACGATACCATAATGTGCCAACTATAAAAACCCAAAATTATAGCATTAGTAAACACTCATTTGCGATGTGTTCTCCTGGTGACCTACTTATTATTCAATAAATTAACAATACAATGACAACCACATTTTATTCATATACACAAATATACCGACACTACTATTCGCTCAAAAAAGCAATGCGATCGATTGTTTCGGGTATAACGTTTATAGGGTGAGAGATAGAGGCTTGTAGCCTTTACTAATAGATAGCCAAGACCTTAGCGCATCTTTTCTGTATCAGACGTACTTTAAGGACGGTTTTTCGGATAGCTTATCAGTCGGATGTTTGAAAAACAGAGTCTCTACTCAAAACATTTTTATAAAAAATATGCCGTTCTTGTCTTTGGTTAAAAGAACCTTAGAAAAAGAGAACGTATTTATCATATGGGAAGAGAAAAAGAGAGAAGAAAATAAAATATTTTTTCTTTTCATGCTTTAACACAAACGTATATATAGAGAATGAAAAACGCGAAAAACTTAAATTGTAGAAATTCAGAAGCAGTTTGGTGCAAAACCAATCGGGATCTACGAGAAAAACTGCATCGGTTGATATATAATTCGATGTGTTACGAACATTTTCGTCCAAAATTTTTAGGCAAAAACACCTGAGGGGGACCTCAGGCAAAAATTTCGAAGGGAGCTTTTTGTCTGCCTTCAAACTCAAAGTTAGATGTAAAAGGTTTCTCGATATGCCCGGTCCGAATATCGCAGTCGCGCGGCTGGAATCCTTGCAGATAAAAAATGTGAGTAGTTTTCATCTGAGGTAAAATCGCGTTCATTGTGGTGAGTGTGATAACATTTTGAAGGACTTGACATAGAATTCAAATCTCTTCGCTGTTGGCATGTTTAACCGATTTTCTGTCGATCCTGAAAATCCCAACTTTCTAGCTATAGTGGATCAAAAGCTGACAATTTTGTAATGAGATGCTCTAAGTGTTTTCAATCGACTGACCCACGTACGAAAACTCCAGCTATCATGATTCGAGTTGGGCTCAGTTTTTCTGGACCTACCCGAGCATCTATTCATTAGCGCTGAGGACCTTGAAAATATATGAAAACATAAGTTATCGACCACGCTACATCTCGATTTTGCGAAAAAATTCCAGAACCTGAGTGAAAATCTGTATTAGGTAAAATAACCCGTTTTTGACTATTTTTACATAAAATTCAAAAACTCATAACTCAGTCAAAATCGATCTAACCTATGTAAGAATATTAAGGTGTAATCTGTTTTATCTATGTTATAACATGAAGTCCAATAAAAGCTTTAAACGTCAACAGAAAATATTTGGGTTTTAAAAATGTTTTCTTCTTTCCAATGTTTATTACTAACTTAAGTAAAAAATCATTTTGACCACATGAAGTAGATTACATCTTAACGTTCTTACATAGGTTGGATCGATTTTGACTGAGTTATGAGTTTTTTAATTTTATGCGAAAATAATCAAAACGGGTTATTTTATCTAATACAGATTTTCACTCAGTTTCTGGAATTTTTTCGCAAAATCGAGATGTAGCGTGATCGATAACTTATGTTTTCATATATTTTCAAGGTTCTCATCACTAATGAATAGATGCTCAGGTAAGTCCAGTAAAATTGAGTCCAACTAGAACAATGATAGCTAGAATTTCCGGACTTGCGTCAATCGATAGAAAACCTTTAGAGCATCTAGACATGTGAAAAGAATGGCACGTTTTTTATAAAAATGTTTTGAGTAGAGACTCTATTTTTCAGAGACTTGACTGATACACTATCCGAAAAATCGACCTTAAAGTACGTCTGGTACAGAAAAGATGCACTAAGGTTTAGGCTATCTAATAGTAACGGCTACAAGCCCCTATCTCTCACCGTATAAACGTTATTCACGAAACAATCGATCACATTGCTTTTCTGGACGGATACAGATGCTCAGTCAAGCATCAATGTCCATGTACTGCAATAATTTCTTGAATAATAGAGCGAATGTGTCTGATATATATAAAATATTTGATACTTTATTTCTCCTTTTACGTCATAGAAAAACACCTTTACAGCGTTACGTACAAAATAAGCCGTGGTATTGTTAATAGAGGGTTCACGAAGATGTTATGAAACCACTGCAGGGATAGAAATCGTTTTTCAAGTCAATGAGCCTGTTAGCTTCCCCCTTCGAAGTTACCGATCAATTCGTACTTTCCGGCTTTAGTAACGTTTCGTTCTCGGATTTTTCAAATTGGTGTCAGCATGTTTTTGCGTTTTGATTATTATGAAAATCTATGCGTTCTTTTTCTTATTGGATAATATATGAGTCGGCAATGAGCAGAAACAAACGGGATTGGGAAGCATGTACACTAGCGCAAATATTGCACTGGAAAAGCGCAAGGGTTCCAGTAATAAAGATACATTAGATCGCCAATATTTGCAGTATGTCAAGATCCTGGACGCTAGTAACAGCTCATTTTAAAGTATGACAGTTCTGTCGGTTGCTTGGATAACTGAACTGGTAAATAAAAGACAAAAAGAGTCATTGCCCGTTGTCCTTAACCCAATATTTTGATCCTATAGAAACGCTTGCAGCTGTGCATAGAACATAATACACAAAAAACAGAACCAAATGGTAAGCATAGGTCCCGTAAAAATTATGCAATGATACTTGTACTGAAATAGCAGTTTCTGAATCGCTGAAGAACTATGGGGAACTGTTAGGAACCAGAGAAAGCTATGCGATTCGAATCATTAAACTCTCTGTACAGAAATTCATCTAACGTGTCTTTCTGTCACTTATATTATTATCAGCTGTCGCTTATGTAATATTTTATCGTTATAAATCAGATGACATAAATCTTACACCCACAGAAAACGCAACGAAAACATGTTTGATTCGAATCCTTGTTTACAGTTAGATATAAGAAACCTCGATTGCAATGAATCAGAAAATATTAAAAAAAACATGGATATTTTCATTTGGTAAGGATAGTGAAGCCGGGAATAATCATAGACACAAAAGATTACATCTTCGGCAATAGCGTCTTCTTCTTTACTAATTAACTACTACTGTCACCATTACTTAGAGTATCCAAAGTAGTGGCGGAAGTACTTTATTTCCGTATAGAAAGCTTGAGAAAACTTCAATCTGTTTTCAAAAAATGCGCAATTAAATTCTCTACAAAATTGATGTTTCCTATATTTTGCAGTAATGAAGTTCTAAATTTCTAGAGGTCAAACACTTCAATGGAATCAAGTTCAACCAGTTCTCGCTGAATTTTGGATTGTTTTGCGAGTTTTTTCTGTGCTAACGACAAATATTGAGAAGATCAGGTATTCATTTTTCGATAGTGCACCAACTGCTCTTTCAAAGATATATAATATCTCTACCCGGTATTTGCTACCGTATCAAAAATTCTTTTATTTAAAGGCGCTATGACTTTCACGGTGAATTTTGACCACAAAACGGGATATATGTAGGTTTGTAGAGGAAGCCTTCCTCTATCCAATGGTGTATATATTATCAAATTCTGTTGCGTACCGTGAGAGGAAATTAAATTAGAAAATCATAGATTTGATATGTTTTAAGGGAGCTCCTCCTATACCAAAATTANAGAGAAAATTAACGGTAACCCGTCTTTTTTTAGACTTTTTTAGACATATTTTTTATTTTTGAGTTAACTATTGTGCATTATAGAGTAACGTGCCCTCTACAAAAGAAGACCACTTCCAACTCTCCAAAGCTTTTCGTTGAGGAGATACGAATTTTTTAAAGTTTGTTACTTTACTCTGAAAAACCCTTAGTTTTTTACTTTCGAAACATTTTTCTCGTTCGTTCAGTACTTGATAAACGTTTGAAACAGTCAATCTGGTAGAGTAATGATTTCTCCACAGAATGAGATGTATCCTAGCTTTTCACCATGTTTTCTGATAGAGTTATGGTCATTTTGTTGGAAGTCTTTGAAAAAGTCA